AAGGTCTTAAGGTGAAAAACAGTAGAAAACTGGGAAAACCAGTATGGTTTCTTGGCACAGTAGGTAGGACCTGAAAACCCTTCAGCACAAGTCTGAGAATGGGTTGTACCAGGTCGAAAGACTGGAAAACCAGTATGGACTCCTTGCAAAAGAGCTAAGCCTGAAACCCTTCAGCACAAGTCTGAGAATGGGTTGCACCAGGCAATAAAGGCTGGAAAATCAGAATGGGTTCCTTGCAAAAGAGCTAGGATTGAGACCCTTCAGCACAAGTCTGAGAATGGGTTGTACCAGGCAGTAAAGACTGGAAAACCAGAATGGACTCCTTGCAAAAGAGCTAGGCCTGAGATCCTTCAGCACAAGTCGGAGAATGGGTTGTACCAGGCTTTTAAAGACTGGAAAATCAATATGGACACCTTTCAAAAGAAACTAGGCCTGAGACCCTTCAGAACAAGTCTGAGAATGGGTCTAGAGCAGGCTAGGAGCTGAGGTCCCGTGTGGGACTGCAGAGACTGGTGAGACCAGTATGTGAGCTCCTTGCAAAAGAACTGTGAGAAACAGTATATGATAGATAGGTGCTTAGTAAGCAGCAGAGATGACAGAATCCAACTCCCAATGAAAGGCAATTCAATTATACTGCTGCAATAAATTGCCAGAGACTATGACAAGTGGATGTGGCTGGGGAAAAAAGCCTGGAGATTGTCTGCACTAGTTCTGCCCTCCCCCGAAAGGGGGGGACTATTCCAGCCACTCGATAAGATTAGAGAAGTTAATTTAGACTCAAATCTCTCTTTTGTATCTGCCAAAGGAAGTTGAGAGAATAAACTGCGTAATGAGTTTTATTCCAAAATGGCGACCGCCAGCCACGTGGCGATTAGCCTATGGCCCTAATGCCGGTTCTGCAATACAGGCCTTGGAGCCAGAAAGGCTGATGCCAGCCACGTGACTCCCCGCAATGCAAGAGAGCAAGCCCAAAACAAAAATGCTAGCCGCCAGCCATGTGGCAATTCGCCGATAGCCGCAATCGTCCGGACAAAGCTCAGGACGATCAGCTGTCGTTCGGGCTTCCGCGGCAGTCCCTCACTCAACTGAGCTGATCAGAAGGCTCCGCGGCTCTTCAAGCCTCGCAAACAAGAAAAAACAAAGAAAAACAAGCCTCCCGGCAAGCCCCAGCATTCCGGGATGAACTGCCATCGCCCTGGGCCTCCGCGGAGATCCGCTGATCAGCTGGATCGAGTGGAAGGCTCCACAACTCCCCAAAACTCCGAAAGCACACAAATAAACAAAGAAAACCTCTAGCTGAGGGTACAGTCTCCCCAAAGCCTGAACATTCAACCGGAAAAAAACAACACAAGCCTCGTGCTAAGGCTGCAACTGTCGGGGAACGCAAACAAAAAAGAATCGGAGGGGAGGGGAGGACCCGAGGGAAGAAATCACAGGAAAACAATACAGTGTTTTGAAGAGGAATTAAAGGGGAAAGGAAGGATAATCCACGAATAGGGAAAAAGGGAAAATAAATTCTTTTAATAAAACCTGAGTCTGGAGAGAAGCACCGATGCGTCTTGTCTGGGTAAAGACTAAGTCGGAACTGGGTAAACCTGATCCAGCAAGAGGCGTGGCTATCTCTCAGACTTAGTCTAATTGGGTAGAAGGGACTTCAGGAAACCCAATCCGTGGATTATCCATCCTCATGCTGGAGACACCTCTGGCTTCATTTATACATTCAATTAAAAAAATTATCTGAATTAAAATACATCTAAATTATCTGAATTAAAATGCACATCTATTCCGATAATTCATAGTTTTCTTAACCAAAAAGGATTAAAGTTATTGTTTACATTTCTAATATACATTTGGCACACTCTTATACATCTTAGATAATTTATTAGGTGTTGGTTAGGTGTTATCATTAAGTACCAATGATATATTATCTCAGTGGTTCTCAACCTTTTTAATGCCGCGACCCCCAACCGGTCGTAAGTTGAGGACTACTCAACTGGTCGTAAGTCGAGGACTACTCAACTGGTGCAGTACCGTTTGCAGAATGGGACTTTTGGTGGGCTCAGCAGGGCTGGACAATTCCTATTGGCTTTTGAAAGCCAATAGAATTAGACTCTATTCAAGAGAGTCTATTCTACTGGCTTTCAAAAGCCAATAGAATAAAAGAGAGTACAACAGCTAAGGAAAAGGGGGAAAAAATGGCAGACTGCGTTGTTTGGCGACCCCCGTGAAATGGTCATTCGACCCCAAATGGGGTCCCGACCCACAGGTTGAGAACCACTGTATTATCTAATAAAAACTATATTTTCAATCAATAAATTTGAAATCAATACTTTTTATTTTTATTCTTTATTACACATATTCTCCCATTAACCCAGCATTGTATTCGAACCAAAACTTTTTGCTCATTTAATCATACAATCTTTGATATACTCATCTTCAGTATTCATTTTCAGCAGCAATTTGTATATCTTATCAATTGCATGTTCATCATTAGTTCCTAACTCCAACTCAGAGTCAGTTTTCTCATTGGTAAACACATAACTCCTTATTCACTTTAAATCTTCTATTAACTGGACATAAGCCAGCCATTAGCAAATATGGCCAAGGCAGACCATTCTCTTTAAAGGAGTTCATGCAATCTAGTGCAATCATTTTTCCAGATTCATTGACCCTTCAGAAATGGTATTCTCCATTATTACACTATCGTACTGGTAAAAACAGGCTAGGATCATTACAGGAATGGCAGAAAAAAAGTGACTGTAATGTATGCTGTTTGAGTTACTTGATGAGGGTCAGTAACATTTCTGCCTGTCCCTGTTTCTGCAACAAAGCCAGGGCAGTTAACAACTAAATAAAGCCAATTTCTATATCACAAGCTGTGACTAAGATCCTGGTTATATAGAATTGTGAAATGCCACATATTGAAAATAAAATTATGATCTATATAAAAATAGGTATTTTTAGAAAATAAGGAAGATAGATTATTTGCTTCCTCGGTGTTATCAATCTTACAGGAGCAAAATCAAATAATAAATTCAAATACAAACTTTCTTTTGTATTGGGCTATGATGACCTAGAAATGGACTAAACACAAGCCAACCAGAACGAACAGGCCATTGATGCTTCTTTTGTGCTCCTTGTCCATATTTTATCAAAGCAGAGCATTTAAAGTAGCAGTAATTATGAAGATCTATCCAGTATATTCAATCATTTCCAAAAATTGAAATTTAATTGAAACTAATTTTAAACAGAGAGGTAAAATCTTCTTCAAGTTGCCACATTCCTAATGATTTTACCAATATGTCTGTGAAATCTGCAACAGCAATACAGTGGGGTCAACATTAACAACAGTTTATGGAAGATATTGAATAGGTGGCTTTATAATCCAACCACTTAGGGATAAAATGTTTTAATATGTTGCTACTTTTGTTGCCTGGCTGAAAGGGAAAACTTGATGAAAGTTGTAAATCAACTAAGGGAGCGACACCAAACCCTAATATTTACTATGGGAATTGTGAACAATAGTAATTTGCTATTTTGGAAAATTCTGGTGAAATGTTATAAGCTTCCTATAGTCCAAGAAAGTGATTAGCAGTTTGCAAAATATTATTAGCTCAGGACCTTTGTACATTCTGTCAGGAAAATGGTTAACCACCTAGCCCAGAGGTTCCCAACCTTTTGGGCACCGGGGACTGGTTCTGTGGAGAGAGGTTTTTCCGTGGACCGGAGGAGGCGTAGTTTCATGTATTGGCTGCATCCTGCGGATGGGGCTTTGCTTGTTTGCACAGAACAGTTTCTGGCATGCTGCAGCCCGGTGCTGGTCCACGGACCGGGGGTTGGAGACCCCTGACCTAGCCTATCCATCATATGAGTGTTAGCAAAAGAATTACAAAATCCAACCCCCAATGAACTTAAAGAGATAAAATGGGTGATAAAATGGAAGTAGCCAGTTGTTGATATTTGTGTAACCTAATCTGTTTCCTTTTTCATAAATCTGCCTAAAGAAGATTTTGAGAGAATCCTGCTTTCTGTTGCCAAGAGATAATGATGTAAATCTAAACTACAAAGTCTATAGAAAAAAAAACAAACACAGACTGCTAGCTCAATATTGCAAAATACCAGGACCCTAAACAAAAGATCAGTTAATAGGTCACTGATAAGGAGAGCTAACAAAATAAGTGATGCCACTAGCAAACCAAAGGAAATTTAAAGCTCTTCTAAATAATGGGTACACTATGCAAGCTAAAACTAAAGCAACAGAAATATCAAAATAAACCCCAAACAGGATTATGAACAGCATGCAAGAAAGTGCTAGATAAAAGAGATAAAAGATCAGGGATGATAGAACTGTTGCCCTTTAATATAGATGAATTCCCCAAAGTAAGAAACAGGGAAGTGTAAAAAATTAATAGCTATACAAAGACAGTTACATTGGATAACAGACTATTTTACAGTTAAAGGACATGAAAAGAACATTTAGCTTAAAAACATAGGACAGTTAATATTGTCTAAAACTAGTCGGAATGCCCCCAAAATAGGCTTAGATATGCCAATTTTGGGATACAATGGAACATATATTTCCTCTGAATGATTAGAGGAAAAAATAGAAATATATATTCATCCAAATAATTTATCAAGGAAAAAGGATGATCAGTTGACATCTAAATGGCAGGTAGAATTTGGTGCAGGCATTTTGTTCCATGATATCTAGGTTATATGAAAATAACTGATTTATGACTTTAAGTTAAATTTAATATGACTAACAATCTTAGATTTAAGATTTCTGCTTTCAACATGTTACTTAAAAAAATTCTGAATTAAAGTTGCAAATGAAAATATTGTCATTTTTTATAACTCTTTAGATTAGTCCATAAGACTTTTCTCATCCTCCCACTGATCTAAAATAGGATATGCATAACAAATAGTTTTTAGATTTTCTGGAACTTGCATATATTTTGAGAAAAAAATGCAAAAATTAGGTAAAAAGCACCAAATATGACTTTATCTTTTACAAAGCAGTTTATTAGGTGTCAAGTACATGACAGTATTAGAGCACTTGTTTATAGTAAATAAAACAGTCTATATAGTAAAGAATTATAGAAACACAAAACCAACATTGTATGGGGCAGAAGGGACCCAGCTAAAATATACAGTATATGTAAATTATTTCCGTCAGTTTTACAAATTATATTCTGTTATGAGTTTGAGGAAAATATTATCAAGTCAGTTATATTTCTTTCATTTCTAGCTTATATTTTAATGGTTGGATATCTTGCATCTCAGTACCACATTTAGGACAGGTAAAGTATATATCTGATAAGAAGCAACTTTTAATGCAATAGTAACAAAAAACATGTGAGCAGCCAATAGTATGAGGCATAGTAGGCCATTCCCCACACACAGAACATTCCTTATGACTTATTTCTGACGTATTTTCATTATTGAAGTTTTTCCTAACAGGTAAAGACCAAGAAGAAATCTTGAGTTTGAGTTTATGCATGTTAATAAGTGGCAAAAGAAACACCAGAAATTCAGCAAATCCATGCCACAAGAGTTCTCGGTTCATGAATTCAAATGCAATGGGACGGACACCCTGTGGCTGACAGAACACTGATCTGATTCCTAAAATACGTTCAGTAAGTGTAGCAAATTTTCCCTTCTGAAGAAAAATTAGAAAGTTTAGCAACTCACAAAGTCTGAGAAGCCTGACTATTAAGTTAATAAAATATTTTGTCCTTTGGAATGAGTCCAATGGACGTTTGCTAAATAAATCATAACACCTTTCTTCCAGCCATTTCCCACCAACAGTACAAATAAGATACCATAATTTCTGTTGTTTGCTCAATGTCTGATATTTTTGTATCTGGGATAAATCATTTGTGTATTGAATATTCAGTAGAGCCTGCCCCACTGTTGCATTCTTGGAACAGATGGTGAATCTCCACAAAAAAATCCACAAAGATGCTTTAATTTCTGGTTCAAAGCGAGCCAAGAGTCCAGGTTTAAATCCATGAAAACAGCAAGTGAACTGGGACCAAACTAGCTGTTCCAAGGCTTTGTTCAGTTCAAGTGCATCCAGCTGACTAATTCTGAGGACAGGAATCATTTTGGTGACATTGCTGTCCGATGCCATGGTCAACACGGAGCCCTCTATAACAAAAAATAAATTCATCAACATATTTTCTATTACATTTTGTTGTCATTTATAAATTTATTCTTTTCATTTTGATAACAGTTTCATGAGTTAAACCAATCAAGAGCAATTTGAGCTATAAAATGTAACTATCCCAATTTCACTGAATGGAAAGCAAATATTTTAAATCTGGATCTTCAGTTGTCATGTCAGGTATTAAATTGAAATAGTCAACATTATATCCACTCAGGTTAATTCCTTTGATGGTGGTTTTTCACCAGCACATACAAGTGCATACATACTGATTTTCACACGAATCAGGATCCTGACAACACATATTACTGCATAGTACATATATTGGCTTCTATTTTATAATGCAAATATTCAGATTTAAAACAAATTTAGCAATCAGGGCAAGCTTCCCTGAGGGATAGCATGTTCTCAATTACCATTCCTCCATTCCATATATTTGAGGTCAGAGGTTCATAACATTTTTTAAGACCAAAGGCTGAGTGTGGCCTTTGAGAGATATGCTGAAGGCTATACTCCCCAAAATGGTAAAAAATTAAATTTTATTTCATTCCATTTATATCTAAATTTAAATAAAATTAAATATAGTTAATATAATTGCCCTCTAGACAGGTATTTAATCATTTCTTCCTTCTGTAAATTAATTACAATTTGGTATCAACTTAAAAATCTCTGAAATGTCATTCGAAGCTTTTAGGGGCTAGATTTGGTCCTAAAATCTATATTTCAAGTGCACCTTTAATTCATGTGATTGAATAGTAATATACAGCCAGGATTGGCACTATCCATTTTTATACTTTTAGATTTAGGTCCATCTGTCGTTATATTAACATAGTTAAACCAGAAGGTGCTTCTTAGCATTTTTATTCATGCCTTTCCATTTATTTGAGTCTAGGTTTTTAATATTTTGTTAGCTGGCTGAAGGACCAACGAGATACAAAATTGAGTTAGAAATCTAATAAATAGCCATTGTCTTAGGATACAGCTAATCACACCACTTCTTTTCACTTTCCATCCCTATGGGCTGCCCCAGAATTTCTACCATAAATGTCAAGTGCAAGGACTGCAACATTAGTGAACTAGTAATTGTCCAAATCTTCTCCTCCTCTCTTTGCCCTTGTGTCTATCTGGAAGTGCCATGTTTTAATTGACCTGCAAATCATTCCAAATGAAAAGACAGAAACAACATTACTGGTCTATAGATTCTCATTTTTTAATTTCATTACATTTAAGACACTTTAGATTGTTTACATTCTTTTTAAAATGCTAGTTTATTATGCTTTAGACTTCCATGATATTGAAGTTCAGATTCCTTAAGAAGTGCTTCCTTTTGATTTAGGGTTAAAATCTGGCATTCTAGAGCTACTTCTTGGCTTTTAATGGCCAGATAGATCTCACTAATATTGTACCTACCATACTATCTTTATACAGGCTTACCTTGTTTAGCGTCTCTTTGGAGCTATGGAGTGATGAAAATGTATCCTTTTGATCAATCCTTATATTTACAACCTTCATAGATTTGTAAAACAAAGGAAAATTTTAAAATAAGATAATAGAGTTGCAGTTTCACTTAGTGGCCACTCTGCTTAACGACCAAATTACTGGTCCCAACTGTAGTTGCTAAACGAGAGAATACCAGTACTGCTTTTTGTACTGTATCTTCTATGGTCCTCCTGCTTAATATACCCTAAGATGTGTTTACATGGTCAGTATAGTACCTGAGTAGATTTTCTCACTTCCAGTCTTAAACAGATGGCTACCATCTTAAATGCCTCCAAATGCAGCATGAGCGTGGATTTTCACTCAAATTTGCATTTGCATTATCTGTGAAATGTTGTCATATTACCTGCCAGACAGTTATGAGGTTACATAGTATTTTTCTTCTTCACAATGTATTAAATATGTAGCCAGAGAGTTTCCAGGCTATGCACCCCTACCTAGGTCATAACTTTACACAAGTTGTGCCTGACATCTTCCCTACTCTATTAATTACCTGGTATGTTGTACTTAATTTGTTTAAAAATACTAATATTACTAGTATTTTTTATTTTTACCAAGGTTCTTATCGACCTATAACACATTCTAAGACAACAAATTGTTGAGTATCATTAATTAAATAGGTATATTTTTCTGATATGTGTTAACATTACTTACTGTGTAATATACAAATTATGAATGAATGCATTTTATTTAGAAATGCATTATTGACAGAAATCTATCAATACTAAAGTGGGTATTGTCAAGGGCCTGTCAATATTAATGTAATTATGATTAAGGGGATAACATGGATTTTAGCTTTAATACCAAATAACATCTCCTACATTGCTGCTATCAATATAAGCATTATTATTGACCTGTTCTGAGGCCCAGAACTAGATGTATTTCCATTAACCATATCTGTCAATGCATCCTGCCTACAAAAATTCTACATTTAAATTTACAGGCCTGTAAACTTTGGCAGCAGAAACATATAAGTTCAAGCAATCTCCACAATGTCATTCCTCCCACCCCTCCCAGCAATTCTGCTGTAATAAACTAATTTATGCCAATCCAATGACATTGCCATCTCACGCCTACTCTTTTAAAGGATAATTAGCAGAAAACAAACAATGTTTTCATACCAAAGGGGCACATAATCTGATGCCTACGTAGGCAAGCCTTAAATATCTTCAGAATGCAAAACTTAAACAATAACATACCAAGCAGTCCTTCTTGGTGTTCTAAATTTGAATACTGAAATATTCTAATTGTGTTTGTGATGCATAGAGCAATTTATAAATTAATATCTACACCACTGAATTCAAATACATTTTCCAAGAGTTTTAGTTCCAAATATCACTTATATCAATCACATAGTATTGAAATATGCAGCCAATATTCATCACAGAATAAAATGTGTCTCCAGCTACCAATCAGTCACATCTCATTGGTAGCACTGCCTTACAGAAATGTACTATTGGGTCTGGGTACCAAAATATGGAAGGATTAGGAATATTATTTTCATTTACATAGATCATGATCTATTCCCAGGTCACCTTAGTTTATGAGAGCATGACAGCAATTGCAAATTTTTTAAAAAGCTCTTTCTAGTGTAATTAGCATAAACATTAGATACGGAATTTTAAAGGGAAACTCAGATTATGTGATCCATTCACTTGGATGCCATCTAGTCCCCATCCCTATGTCAATAAAATGGGAAGAAGGAGTTAAAAGAATTCCTATCAAATAAAATTGCACACACACTGGAGTGGAAAACCAGAGGCTACTGTGCTATAACTTCCAATATCCCTCATGCTGGGACTGCTGAGCAGTTTAATCCAACAATATCTGCATAGTGAGAGTTTCTCATCCCTAACATAATGAATGCACAGGGACAAAGAGAATATATATGTAGTAAATATTATTTATAAATATATTTTCTTAGAGAAAATTAATATTAATTTTTACACATTTCTCATTTTTTTAGATTTTCCCAAGGAATTCAGATTATTCTTTTCAAATTCAGATGCTAGTTAAGAATGATCAAAGCTATACAAAAACAACACTCCTTATCTGTCTGTCTATCACACACTATATGTGATGGTTGTAGGTTATCTCAGTTCTATGGATTTTCAAGTCAATTCCATCATAAACAACCTTCTTAAGACCTCTGAGAACTGAAGCTGGCAAGATGGAAAACTAGAAGGCTCAGACATAGGCAGGTGTCGTTTACTTCCCAGTCTGGAAGCAGAGTAGCAAAAAGTCCATTTCTATGAAAAAGCAGGAGAAACAAATCTAGGATTTAAACACTGAAGCTCATACGTGTTACACACACACACAGAGACAAGCATGCACAGGCATATATTCACATGGTTGGATTCTTGATTTCCCTAGCACAGGGGTAGGCAACCTTGGCTATTTTATGACTCATGGACTTCAACTCCCAGAATTCCTGAGCCAGCTGCCTGCCCTAGCCACTGATATTCTGAATAAATATGGTTTCCTCCAATTTCAATAGTAGTTTATATTTAATGCTTAATTAAACTACATAGAGTTCTTGAGAGTTGTGCTGTTAAGCTAACTACTGAATGCAGGGAATTGACTAGTGAAGAATAGTGAAGAAATCTGTGCCTGCATATAGTATGACAAGACTGTCCTTTGTATTATACACTCAAGACAGGTAGGTTGCTTCAACAAAAGCCTCACCAGAATTACATATTATCTCTTCATCACTATAAAATTAGTTTGTCATTATTATGTCATAGCTTAAATAACTTTCAAAAAGATTAATTTCATTTTATATTTTGAATTTCTATATGCTTCAGTTAAATGCTTTCTAATGCTTTTAAATGCTTTTCTATACTTTTGAAAGTATACTACAGACCTAGATTTGTTAACCTCTCTGCAGATACCTAATACTTAATAAACTTTAGTAACTTGAACGTTATTTGCACATTACTTGAATTTCTGAAAATATTTTTAAATGACTGTTTTTATGTGGCCTATTTAGTCTTTTTATTATAACTAAAGAAAAAACAATGCTTTATAACATGTAACAACTACATATAAATTTAATAAAATTAATAAATTTAAATGGAATTAGAATTTAGCTGCTTAGTTTAGCAACTGTTTGAAGTTACAATTCAATGGAAAAATAACTTGACAATCAGTCCTTGCACTTATGACCATCATAAGAATTTTCATGGTCATATGATTGAGATTTGGGCACTTTGCCACCAGCAGTTGTTTATGACTGATCAGAATTCATGTGCATTCCCCCTTTTTTAGAGGGTGGGGGGTACTTTAAATTGAGTCTTGGGAATTTTTTCAGAAATAGTTGACCATTGTCTTTTAAGGCTGAATGAGAATACTTCAGCAAATAACTACTTTTCTCAGTAATTCCAGGTATGGCTTCTAAAACTTCTACACACTGTAGAACAACTTTGTAACAGCCTATAGCCTTGTCTTTGAAAATACCAACTTAAACATTTTTATAGGTGCATAGTAAAAAAAATTAATATCAGGCTTTTCCAAGATATTGATATTAGAGTTATGCAATGATAAAACCATGGGGTTGTCTGACTGGTGATTATGAATTACACTTCCAAATTGTAGAAAAGTTTTAATTTATTATAGGGCATTAGTATATTTTAATTATTATAGCAATGTTTACTTTGGAAAAATACAGCTTACAAAATCTCTTAATTCAAAGCACTCTCCATTGCAAATTATTTTTAAAATTCTAGGAGAATTTTATTTTCTGATTTACAGAACAATAGACTGTTTGGAAATATTTCTACCATAGTATGTAAAGAAGTTCCTCAATGAGTCACTGTGACATTTAGTACTGCATGATGACTTATGACCATATAGTAGTTTCAGATACTTAATTCATCTAGTTTCCCACAGCACCGCTTATTGGTACATTTCTCTATAAACAAAGTTTAGAATTTCATGCATTAAAACTTAATTTTTAGCCTTCCACTAATAAAATGCACACAATTTCTTTTAATATTTAATAAGAATCTTCCCTATTTTTTATGAATTTGTAAAAATGAATCCCTTATCAAAACCTCATCCCTTTTTATATCCCACATAAACAAACAAATACATTCCTATACGAAGATGATATATTCCTAAACTAAATGAAAAATAATTTTGTAAAACTGCTTATTGTAGCAGCGGAACATCCAAATGTTTTAACAATTTTTTTATTTATACACAGGAAAGTACACAAAATAATTTCTATGACATTTTTGATAAGGATAATGGCATAAAGCAACTCACTATGTCCTGTAAGCTCATTCACATTTTTATTTTAAAATCTTATTTTAAGGGAAGTATCATGGACTTCGAAAGGAAATTAAATGTGTCTCCTAATGTAGCATTAATATCCTTATAGTAATTTCTCTTGGATCAAGATTGAGTATTGTACATTGGCCATACTTTAAAACTAGAATCTCCTTTCTAGCATATGTTATCAATTTAAGAAGTTTGAAATATTTCTGGCATACAATGAATGAAATGGGTACAAACACACATATACAGTAATATAAAAGAGTGTCTCTGACTTAACAAAACAATTGTAGTGGGTATAGCAGTAAGTTAAATTCCATTGGAATTTCAATTTTATGTTTGTGTGTGTGTATGTGTAATATATATGTATATATGTATGTATATATGTATGTGTGTGTATATATATATATACACACACACACACGCACACACACACACACACACACACACACACATGTATATACGGTAGAATTGTGTAACATAGTGCAGCTTCACCTGAAAGCCTCACTTCAAACAGATAAGAGACAGTTCTTTAGTTCAGAAAATAAAAATCACCTTGTATCAACTAGAAGCACTGAGAGGGTCAACTTGATTTAGCCAGTAACTTCACTCTAGTGGGAAGGGCTTTTGTGTATGAGCAGCAGCTCTTTATAATGGTGAGACTGAAGCAGTACAGCCCTTCTGATCTAGTGCTTCGGAGGGAACCTCTGCTTCAAGTTGTGGCATCCCTTTCAAGTTGCACACAGCCTTAGTAATCAGCAAACCCTGTCCATGGTGATAGGCTGTATCATATTAAAAACCAGGAAGCAAAGATAGAATTCGAAGTCAAAATAATCTTTTAAAATATTTATTTTAATTACTTACCATAGTTCTAAGTTATCCCAACTAATTAGGTACACACACTCATTGTATACAGTGAAAAACCATAATATAAAGGACAATTAAAATACCTATCAGTAGTGCATGCCTCCTCAGGAACTTGGGGAGTGGGAGGTGTTCAACAGATGCTCCTACTGTTCGTACCAGCTAGGCTGATTTTACCTTGGCAAGGCATTCCCTGATATTTTACTTTCTATTTTATTTTAGTCTCCTAATCAAGATTTTCCAGATTAACAGTGGTTTAACTTTAAGGAAAAAATAGTGACTGAACTGGGACTCTCTTCCACGACCAATAATCTATTTATATGATCTCTCATCTTGTAGGTTGCTATTTGAAGAAAGTAAGCTGGGTAGGCATTGCTCAGTCTTACTTGGGAACAATTTGTGAGATACCTCCAAGCTTGGCTTGACCTAACAATTAGTCTTTACACACAGATTGTTTCCTATGATCAAATTCAAATCTAGAGCAAAGAAAATTGGAGAGCTGATTAAGTGGGCTGTGAAACTCTGAATGGCTCTTAGCAACGCTACCAATAACATTTGATAAATATTGTATAGCCTGGGGAATTAACATCTTTAATACCACAATCCTATATAGCAGGCATGTCAAACTCACGACATCATTTGATGTTGCACAATGTATCATGACTTTTTCCCCATTGCCAACAATGGGGTGGTTGCAGTTTCAGTGTGACGCATCCGGCCCACGGGCCAGCAGTTTCACATGCCTGCTATATAGGATCTGTGGGAGATGGACAGTTAAGAAGTGTGAAATAAATAGTATAGCAGTGTCTCAACTTTGGCAATTTTTAAAATGTGCGGACTTCAACTCCCTTCCCCTTCCAACATTTTTGGAGCTGAAGTCCACACATCTTAAAATTGCCAAGACTGAGAAGCACTGCATGTTCAGTGACTATCTGAAGTTATGACAGCCTAAAAAGATTTACAATTGGTCCTTGAACTTGCAGCTATCACAGCATTTCCACATAAACTTGATTGTAATTCAGGTGTTTAGCAACCAGCACACATTTTTGATGTTCACAGCATCCTCACCCACATTATCACCATTTGCAAACTTCATAGCTGGATTTCAACAAGCAAAATCAATGGGGAAGCTGGCAGGAAATAGCAAGTTGCAGTCACCTTATGTTGCATTTAACCAATGTGGTGATTTGCTTAAAGACCATAGTGAGAATTAACCTAAGTCAAGCATGGTCAGTTTCACTTTATAACAACACTGTTCATCATGGAATTGCTGACCTCAATTGCCGTCTGTAAGGACTACCTGTGCAGGCATAGTGAGAACACCACAAAATTGTTTCCTGCTAAGGAAGAATGAACTGTATAAGCTTGATGTCTAAATGGAAGATACAATTTCAACTACTACTATTTTTTTTTTTGAACCAGTAACATGAAGCACTTTGATTTTCAAACATTTTTAATCACAGTAAGGCAATAACACAAGTAATAAAACACAGTGAAACAATCGTGTAGAGATTGTGTGAGCCAATGGTTAAAATCAGCCACATTTCTAAGTCAATTTATGAGTCAAATGTTTTTTTTTTCCCCGTCAATGGAAGGTTTCAAAGTTTAAGAATGGCCATTGAGGTGGCCCTTCTTGTGTTTCTAACAAATGTATGTCCCACTGAGCCGAACACGCTCTCCTTCCTAAATCTGCTCTTCGCTTAGAATATTTGCTATTGTCCCTCTCCCAACCCACGCGGGAGGGAGGGGGGTTCTTCCAGCGACGAAGCCCCTTTCTAACATTCGCAGGGCTGTCCAAGGATAAAGGGGAAAGAAAAACGTTCCACGACAGGCAGAAATTCAACTGGATAGGCTCTTCGACGCAGGACAAGAAAAAAGCTGTTTGTTGCGTTTCTGCTTGTCCGGGGAAAAAACAAACAAACATGTCCCTCGCGCTTCAGAGCCGGTCTGCCCCGTGGAAGGAACCCCTTGACCTCTCTCCCTCTAGCCTCATCAGTCCCGGCTGGCTAGCCCTCCATCCCTCGCTGACTGACCTCCGTTTTCCTCCTGAGGGAGGGGCTTCTGGGGAAGCGCCACCGCCGCCTCGGCCGTAGCAGCTCAGGGGTTCAGTGGGCGGGGAAGAGATGACCCGGATTTCACACCGAGCAACGAGTTCGTTAGCTGAGGTACCTAGAAGGGCCGGAGTTGTCTTTCCTCTCTTCTTTCCGCTGTCGTCATCTCGCGGCCCTCGATAGTCATGCGCGCCCAGCAGCTCCGGACGGGAGCCGACAATTGGAGAAGAAACAGGAAACGCTGATTAAACTCGCTCCCATTTCCTAGAGAGGTTGCTTCCTGGCCGCTTTGTAAGTTTGAGTCTCAGTTTTGTTCATAGAGATAGGAAAAAAAAACTTCTCCATTCCGGTCGTTGGGAGACGCTTCATTTTCCATTTTAGGGAAGCGGCGCCAGGAATTTGTTTTAAGAGAGGCAAGCAGGAATTCATGGCCTGCTTCAATTGGAGTGCTTTTTCTGGTTGGATAATAAAGTTGGATAAAGTCCGAAGCAGCTATTGGGTGGGAGAATGGAAATGTAAAATGTAAATGTAAAATCCTCCTAAGACCTAAGCAGTCACTCTGCTTGGAGGTTTACAGCGCTGAATCTTGTACGACCCAGCCTGCAATAATGGAAAAACTGCAGCATTCTGTTCATTCTGCAAAACTCCCACATTTGAGGACTCGTAAATCACTGGCCCCATCCTACGTTCGTCCCCAGGCATCCTCCAAAATGAGTAATTTGTGGGTAATAACCAAGCTCTTTATAAAAGCTAAAATAAGACCTGACTTTGAAAGAGCCTAACCCTTATTTGTGAGGGGGAGGAAGGGAGGTGAAGGAGCTATGGCGATAAGACGATTTTACTGGCTTTTTTCTCTATGCAACTCCCATTTCCGCCCCGGGGGGGTCGGTGGTGGGGGGGAAGGAAACATGGTTTCCTAAAGAGACTCGGAATCTCGCTATCCGTATCGGGAACTGAACTCTTTCAGCTCATGTTCTTTCCAAAAGCTCTTAGAGAGGGAAAACTCAAATCCGAAGCCGCTTGATGGGATCAGCTATTTGACGAGCGCTATATGGGTCCAATCACAGCGGAGGGGCGGCACTAAATGGTAACCAATGAGCTACCAGTTCAGAAAAATAGGGCTCGGAACGAGATGGGGGCGGGACGATTCCGAATACATCACTAGGGAAAGACCCTCTGGAACATAGTGGGAAGAGGTTGGTTAGCGCAGGTGGGCTGGTTCATCCTTGGCCGGATCGCAGCATCTCTGAAGGCTTCCCCGAGGAGAAAATACTCGTATCTGAGTTTTTATTTGTCCCGCAGCAAAAAATATTTGCAGGTATAGACTGCCTGTGAACCTTGATGTTCCATTTAGGTATAAATACTAATAACTTTGGGAAGCTTATCTATCATGATTTTGTTTTTGTTTTTCCGAAGGCATCCGTTTTTGCAAGGCCGCATTTTCCCTCCCCCAAAGGCATCGGAGCTTTTTTTTTTTTTTTTTGCAATGCCACTTTTTTTCAAAGGGGTCAAGAGTTGTTTAGCAATGCCAAAATGTTTGGGAGTTGAGCAAGATATAAATTTAATATTTTATTAAAATTGTAAATATATATTTAAATAATCATTCAGAGATTAACTCCCCCCCCATCGCCAACCCAGGAAGCTTGGAGTTCAGATAATTTCATTAATTTGAAAGAATTTATTACATGATTTATCTTTGGTGTTTAAAAAATTAGTTGCTGTGTACAGATAATACTCAGTTAATGTTGGTAATTGGAATTGCACTGTTAGATATTGCTATAATTAAGTGATAGCAATACCTAACACTGCAATTCCAATTACCAACATTAACTGAGGATTACCTGTACACAGGAACTAATGTCACGTGATTTGTGTTTTATAACTGCATCAAGATCAAGATCACATGAAGTGTTAATATCACTTTATAACGCCTTGGTAAGGCTATGCTTGGAATATTGCATCCAATGTAAAAAAGATGTTGAGACTCTACAAAGAGTGCAGAGAAGAGCAACAAAGATAAACGGGACTGGAGCCTAAAACAAGGAACGGTTGCTGGAATTGGGTATATCTAGTTTAATGAAGAGAAGGACGAGGGGTTACATGATAGCAGTGTTACAATATCTCAGGCTGCCACATAGAAGAGGCAGGACAAGAAGTAAAGATGGAACTTAATCAGAGAAGCAACCTAGAACTAAGGAGAAATTTCCTGACAGTTAGAACAATTATTGTGAAACAATCTGCCTCCAGAAGTTGTGAATGCTTCAAAACTGGAAGTTTTTAAGAAGAGACTGGACAGCCATTTGTCTGAAATGGTATAGGGGCTAGACTAGATGACCTCCAAGGTCCCTTCCAACATCATCATCACCACCACCACCACCACCACCACCATCATTATTAATTAAAGATAGTAATCCTGATACTTTACATTGCTGTAGTTAAATGAGCATTGCAAGTCATTAAATACCAAGTGGCTTGCAAGCAGGCTGGCAGGCAGATAAGGCTACATGAGTGTGGCAGGGCCCCGGTGGCTGGCAGGTAGGGTGTGTGTGGCCCATGAGATGCACCTTTAGTGGAGCTGGGGGTGATGTGTAAGTAGCCCTTGCAATACAAGAGTGGCTGGGCTGCAGGTGATTGCTGCTAGGTGTGGAAAAGTCACTGGTGGCAATCATGGTCAGGTGAGTGTGAACACTGTAGCATGCAGGTGGCTGTTGCAGACACACACATGACATCGAGTATGAGATCCCTCAGATCTTATACTCCATAGCTGGGGTCTTCTTAGGATAAAATGCTGTGGGATTAGATATGAGTTATAGGACCAACTTGTGACCTTCCTTGATGGCTTCTTCTTTGACTTTACTTATGAGAAGCAGGCAAGGAAGAATTCAAATGGTGATTATGGGACACTGCAAGTGCAAGGCAAAGACTCAAATTGTACCCATGGGGGTGCTGGGGCAGCCAGAATTTTAAGGATCAGTCATAAGTACCACTCATTCAGCATTATTGTAACTTTAAACAGTGACAGAATGAGTTGTCATTAACTGAGGACTCAACAACTGTTTCTCTTTCAAAAGGCTTGCATTTTTACTTACCGTGGAACATACAGCATGGAGTCATGTACCTGGATGTTTACTATAGTGTGCCTCAACATGCATTTCATGTTAAACAATACAGTATACCTTTCTGTACCATTGTGTTAATAGCAACAGAAATGGAATAGTTAATAATAATAATAATAATAATAATAATAATAATAATAATAATAAAGTTGGAAGGGACCTTGGAGGTCATCAAGTCCAACCCTCTGCTCAGGCAGGAACCCTACACCATTTCAGACAAATGGCTGTCCAGTCTCTTCTTAAAAACTTACAGTGTTGGAGCATTCATTGCTTCTGGAGGTAGGTTGTTCCACTGGTTAATTATTCTAACTGTCAGGAAATTTCTCTTTAGTTCTAGGTTGTTTCTCTCTTTGGTTAGTTTCCATCTATTGCTTCTTTTTTGCCTTCAGGTGCTTTGGAGACTAGCTTGACTCCTTCTTCTTTGTGGCAACCCCTGAGATATTGGAACGCTGCTATCATGTCCCCCCTCATCCTTCTCTTCGTTAAACTAGACATACCCAATTACTGCTTGGCAGCCATGTTCTATGCTGGTATAGAACTCATACAGTATTCCTATGCATGTTTTGAAATAACCTTGAATATGACTTTCATGATGAGTTGAATACCTTGTACTAGCTCTAATTGGCCCATTTGCTCCTTGACATGTGCACATGATTCTCATTAAAGCTAATGGAGCTATATAGATTCCAAAAGATAAAGAAATAACTTTGAAGGTTGTGTTATATTATGGATATTAATGATCTCTTAATTGCAGATATGCTGTAATTTTAAAAAGGGACAAGAAGGAATTAAGAATTGCAAGTATTTAGCAATTTATTTACAATAAACATTTGTGTAATTGAAGTTACAGTTGAAAGTTGATGTAAGTAGTATTTTATAATGACCCTAGATGATTCCACTTTACATTAATTTTTACTGATTAATTAGACAAATGGAGCTTGTTATATCAAATCTGAACTCTAATTCCTGTATATTCCTGTATATTTAGGGACCAAAGCAGACCCTAATGGATACCAGAAAAGGAAAATTCAGCTTTGGCAAAGTTTTGTTTTTTTTCTCCACAGGAAGGGGAGAAATAGTTCACCATGGAAATAACATGTTTGTTATTGACTACAAGCTTGTGTAGACAATGGAATGTTAAAAAAGCAATCAAAATTTGTTTTGGATTTTTTTTACATGTCAGTGCATTGTTTTAATTTGTAAATTAGATGGAATTTTCAAGGCATTTTAACAATTTGAAATAGGTGCTCTTCTTCAATAATTGCTTTCTATTTTCCATAGCCTGTCGGTCATAGCTTGCATCATCTTCTGCTAGAATTTCAGTGTGACCAGATATGGAAGAGCTGTAGTATTTAAATTGATTGCTGAGATTCAGCTGTGGCACTACAGCTCTGGCTAAAAGTGGGACTTTTACCTGGATTTTTCATTGGAGGAGGCAATAGTATTAGATTATGTTTTCTCTGCTTATTTGTGTTGGAGTTTACTAAGGAATTCAGATGTTTGTCTTAAGAAAAGTAAGATGTGAATATTGTATTATATTACATGAAATTCCATACCTACATTTAAAAATAATACTTTGATGGCTTGAGGCCCCAATGAGGACATTCTACATTGAAGGTGGACTAAAAAAGAAGATTCCACCTCTGTATTATCCGTGTGTCTGGTTCCTACTTTTGCTCAAGTCTTATTAATGCGTTTTGCATTTTTAATATTTTATGTTCTTGTTTTTATTGTGTTTTAAGCTGCCCAGAGTTACTTTGATAGTGAGATGGATGGGACATAAATTTAAGAAAATATTTTTTTAAAAAAATTGAAAGTCATTCCCCATGTCTTTTCTTCAGTACCAACTTCTGATAATCCATAGCTATGTACATATATGGTAGCACTTTTTTCTACTTTACTTGGTATGTGATAAAGATAATAGTTGTGATGAAGAAAATTGGACCCTACATGAAAAATAAGTTTAGAGACAAAATATATGTCATCATGTTGCTCCATTGCTGTTAGTTAGGTACAGTACTTATATCAGATGTTGAACAGAGATATGTAATGGCAGTATTTGTATGATAGTGTCAACATATGCATCCCATTTTGTTATCACAGTTTGCTGTGGTTAGGATAGATACATGGAAGAGCTGTAGTATTTAAATTCATCTGTGGCACTACAGTTATGGCTAAAAGTGGGACTACAATAGATGATTGGCTGATGTTGCACCAGGCCATGGGTTATTTAGTTTTTTTTTTTCCCCAGGAACTAACAATTGGCTGAAATTATAAATTGTATTAATTTATAAACCACAGTTTACAAACTGCATGGCTAGATTCATCCTATATAGCAGACATGTCAAACACAAGGCCCGGGGGCCGGATGTGGCCCGTGAAGCCATCCTGGAAACAGTGAGGGAACGGCCTCCGCTGCCTTGGCCCTGGCCCAGGCTGACCGGGAGCCAATGTACAATTTTGTGGTGGCCATCTATGCTGAAATGCTTTCAGTCTTAGCTCCACAAGGCTGTCTGAAAACAGCGAAGAACCAGCCCCTGCCATGTTGGCCCCACCCCCTCGGTGCATGCTGGGGAGGTGTCACCCTTTATGAGGAATGAAGAAATGCATCATCGCCTGGAAGTGGCTAGCAAATGGCCCTCGCCTACTTTACATATCCGGTTTGATGAGCTCTGCCCTGGTCCCACCCCTTTCTGCCAGAGACCCTCAGATCTGTCCCACTCTTGCCCAGGCACCCTTGACGTGAATGATGTAGAGCTGGCCATGCCCAACCAGTAGGCCACACCCACTCCATCCACGCCCACCCAGTAGGCCGCACCCCCCCAGTCCCCCCGAGGGCAACCGCAATGCTGATGCGGCCCTCAATGAAATTGAGTTTGACACCCCTGCTATATAGTAAGTCAATACAAAATCCAACCATATTTTGCTTAATGGAATACATGCCTCCAAATCATATCGAGACTACCTAAGGAAATTTTGGGTCTTCTTAGGTATTACTCATAAGATGATATAAATTATGGCATGATTACTATACCCCTGTATACTACTATGATCTACTAGGATATTGCTCTTTGAAGATTTCATGGTTTTCCCAAACGTCAAGGGACTTGGATCTTAACTGAACAATTTTAAGAAGGGGGAGAAACAAGTATGTAATTTATAGAGCTTTGTTGTAATTTACCATTTGCAGACAAACATACGT